GAGATTAGAAACTGCAGAAGAGAATTGTGTGTGGTTAGATTATGCAGCTACCAAGTCTTGGCATTGTTAACACAAATAATAAAGGATTTGGTGTACTGTACAATTATGGCTGCAGTACATATTGGCACTGCATGTTTAAAGTACACCTTGATTTCTTCAGACAATCACCACTTGAGTTGCAGTGATTGTGACTGTGAGGAGTTATCACAACAACAGGCCCAGATCCTCAGTGACAGGTATTTAGGCACCTCACGCCATTGAAGTCAGTGGGAGTTAGGCACCTACATACCTTTAAGCCAATAGCTTGGTGATTGCCTAATTAATTACTCATGGTGCATGGTCTCACTATCTTGCTCACTTTTAGAATTGTGCTTTTCTTCATGAGTGTGGGGGTAGCAGCAGGTTCTCTAAAGGTTGCATTGCCTCATTGTAATGAGGTGTATAGAGTATTTATTCAAAGCACCTTCCCATCGCTGCATGTTTGATATCATGCTTTACTCCAGCTATCATTTGTACATGTAGCATTTATTCCAGTGTGCCATGCCCCACTGGATTGCTAGGATTAACACATTTGAACTTGCAAAAAAGAGGACACTGCTGAGAGGGTGTATATCAGTGTCTACCAACTCACATTGTATTAATGTGTTATACTATACAACACATTAATACAATGTGAGTTGGGCAGATACTGATACACTCTCTCTCAGCAGTGTCCTCTTTTTTGAAAGTTCAAATATGGTAACCCTAGGATTGGAGATGGAAATTTTTGCTGCTAGGGCAAGCTCCCTTGGATCCAAACTGAACCTCTTAGCTTAATAACCTGGGCCCAATGAGTCTGAATAATTCCCCACCCCACCTCTTGCAGTTAGTCCATTTTGAAGTTGTATTGGGTTCTCAGCCAGCCTAGTCCGATTGTCAAGACTAGATCAGCTTCAATGGGAATTAGGAGGAAGCCTAGAGGAAGAACACAAACTTCTTTCACAGAACTGTCTAAAGTATAGATCCCCCTTTCCAAAGCTGCAGTAGCATTATTGCACTGATAACATCTTCGTTCTGTGTGGGTTCATCTTCATCTCCTCTGGAAACAAATGAGAGTCATCCTTCTTTCTGGCTCCCTTTCCTAGTGACTGCTCTTAGACATTTCCTAGCCTTCCTTCTCAATGTGGCTGCCTCTTCTCTATATCACTCATCAGGGGCAGAGAAGGAAGTGACACTCCTGAGAATCCCCTCCCAGAACCCCCTTTGCTTTCTGGGTACTGAAGCTAAGGTGACTGATCTGTAATTCCCCAGGTTGTCCTTGTTTCCCTTTTTATAGATGGGCACTTTTTATGCCCTTTTCCAATCCTCTGGAGTCTCCTCTCTCTTCCATGACTTCCTTTCCTTTTTTTTTTATAGAAATGCACTATATTTGCCCTTTTCCAGTCTTCCAGCCCTAGATACTTTGATGTCATCTAACTCGTCTAAGTAATTTTTACCTTGTTCTTTTTCTATTTTAGGTTTTGATCCTACCTCATTTTCAGTGGCATTCACTGAGTTAAATGTCCAATCACTCTGTTTTCAACCTTTCTGTTGAAAACTGAAACAAAAAACTCATTTAACGCTTTTTCCATTTCTACACTGGCCGTGAGTATTTGCGCAAGAATACTGACTTTGTACTATACAAAATTAGTGCTTCTTGCGCAAATACTCTGATGCTCCTGCTTAGGGATGAGCCCTCTTGCGCAAGTATTCTTGCGCAAGAGGGCCAGTGTAGACAGCCAAGTTTATTTCTTGCGCAAGAAAGCCCGATGGCTAAAATGGCCATCAGAGCTTTCTTGCGCAAGAGAGCGTCTACATTGGCACAGATGCTTTTGCGCAAAAGATGTCTTTTGCGCAAAGGCATCCATGCCAGTGTAGATACTCTCTTGTGCAAATACTTTTAACGGAAAAACTTTTCCGTTAAAAGTATTTGTGTAAAATCTTGCCAGTCTAGACGCAGCCATGGAGTAACAGGCCTACTTGATCTTTGGTCTTCCTCCTACTTCTAGGCTACTTCTACACTGCCCTCTCTTGCACAAGACAATATGCAAATGCGGCAAAGCGGTGAATATCGCTGTGCCTCATTTACATACTTAATGATCCACCATTTTTGCACAAGGGGCTTTTGTGCAAAAAAGAGCTGTCTACACGGCTCCATTTTTCCGCAAAAACCCTCTTGCGCAAGAGCTGTTCTTCCTGAAATAAAAGCAACAGAATGGCTCTTGTGCAAAAGCCCCTTGCACAAAAATGGCAGCTCATTGTGTAAATGAGGCACAGCGATATTCACCGCTGTGCCTCATTTGCATATTTTTTGCACAAGAGAGGGCAGTGTAGATGGAGGCCCAATGTACGTGTAGAATTTTTTCTTATCCTTTATTTTGCTAACTAGTTTAATCTCATTTTGTACCTCAGCCTTTCTAATTTTGTCCCAATGTACTTGTGTAATTTGTTTATATTCTTTATCATTTGACACAGTTTCTGTTCTTTGTAGAACTCCTTTTTGATTTTCAGATCTTTGACAATCTCCTAGTTAAGCCAAGGTAACCTCTTGTCATACTTCCTATCTTTTCCATGCATTTGGAGAGGGATGTAAGCGACTAGTCAACTATCTGATAAACGTATTGGATAGTCAACTAGTCGCTTCCCCCCCCCCCTTGCTGCCTCTATCAGAGAGGCAGCAAGGGGGCAGGCAGGAACTGGTACGGGGTGGGAGGAGGGAGAGCTGGCTTAAAAGCCAGTTCCCCCCAGCACCGTCTCTGCAGTGGGAGCAGGGGAGGTAGAGGCTTGGTACGTAACCGGTTTGTAAGTCAGAGAGAGGCTGTACATCTTTGATAAGGCCCCACATCCTCCCTTTTCTGTACTTCCCGAGTAAACCAGATCATTCTATACCCCTATTTTAGCCATGCGTATAATCCTACAAAGCCTCTGTGATGCTGTTATAATTGTGTTTTAGACACTAGCATTCATTCTTCCTGTTTGTTGCCTATCGTGCACACATTAGTATGCATACTGATTTGATTCCCCCTCCATGGTTTCTCTAGTCTTTCCTTTACTCTTAACAGTTCATGCTGCCCCCAAATTCCAATCATCTCCTACATTTCCATTATTTTGTATTATATCCTTCTCCCACCCATGATATTGGTTGAGAGGCACCACTAAGGCTATGTCTACACTACACTTACTTTTCTACATTGGGCCAAATTTCAGAAAAACCTCCTTTTGGAAGAGCCCTTCTTCCTCATGAAACAAGGTTTACAGCTCTTTTGAAAACCGTTCCCTGGACACGGAGTTTTTCTGGGATACCTCCGGCATCCTGGAAAAAAACTCGGTAGTATAGACATAGTGCAGCTAAATCAAGGACTGACAGGAGATGCAGAGTGACAAATGGAAGCACACTGAAGAACTCCCTCCAGCCATAGCGTCACTTTCCATTGAAAACAGCTTGCCGTTGGGTTGCTAAACTGAGCCATTGCCTCTGAATTCACCTGGAGTCCTTGGAGCTAACTGCAGCATTGAGAAAAGAGACCTCACGCCCCTGGAGCTGGACCACTCCTTGGGCTATGTCTACACTTGCAGCTTCCTGCGCAAGTACGGCCGTTCTTGCGCAAGAATCTGCAGAGTGTTCACACTGCCCATCTGCTCTTGCTCAAGTAAATTTACAGTACGGCATGGTAAGAGGGGGCTCCTTGCGCAAGAGCTATGCTCTTTTCTGACAGGTGTAAGCCCTCTTGCACATCTCTTGCGCAAGAGGGCAGTGTGGATGCTCAGCAGGGATTTCTTGCGCAAGAAAGCCCTATGGCTAAAATGGCCATCAGAGCTTTCTTGCGCAAGAAAGCATCCACACTGCCATGGGAGCTCTTGCGCAAAAGCACATCTCGCACATGGCAGTGTGGACGTTTTCTTGCGCAAGATGTTCTTGCGCAAGAAGCCGCGAGTGTAGACATAGCCCCAGTGATTCAGAACAGAGCAGCTGACGTGCTTAGCAATACCAATCGTGATCTTTTCAGCTCTTGCTAGGCCACTATGTACCCCTCTCATGCACAAACAGCAGCGTAGCAGAGACTGAGCTGGATTCACATGTAGCCCTGGGTGCTGAATATACCAGCTGTGGCACTTCCTCAGGCTGTTCCTTTGTTAGATAATTGATGCTCATGCTAAGGTTCCAGTAGGAACAGCTTCATCGGCCCTTCTACTTCAGCAACAGGAGGTTGCCTAACTGCATCTGCTAGGCAGGACTGGCAGCGGGTGGATAGGAGACCTCAAAGGTTAAGCTGACTGATTAAGAGTGGCAGTACTCATGATTCAGAACCCATTCCTTCCTCTGAGTCAGCAGCAAGAACTCGCATGCCCCCTTTTTCAAATGAGACATGAAACCAAAGTGCAGAGATCTTGGGTGTTAAAACCACTCCAGTGGTTCACAAGATGGTAACAGTAAGATCCTGACCAGGTTCACACGGACTTCTCAAGTCTGGCAATGTCCAGTGCAGATCTTAACATTCTGCCCTGATTTTTAGGAGTTGGACCAGGCCCTGTTAAAACAGCTCCCATGCTCCATTCCTGACATTCTGATCAAAACAGAGTACAACAAGGGACCATTATGATCACCTACCCTGCCCTCCTGCATAGCCTACGCCAGAGAAAGAAGCTGGCCATTCCTGCATGGCACTTAAGTGTTTTAGGAAAATGTCCAATATCACATGCATTAATGGGTTCAGCTCAAGTTTTTATCTTCCATCAGAAAACGTCTAGCTCCAATTGCCAGGCGTTGGATATTGCTATGCTTTTGTCCACTAGATTAACAAGCTCCCTCTCAAAATCTTGTCTACACCTCAGGCTTGAGAGGCAAGAGATATTTGCTGATAGCCTGGGATGGAGGAGAGCTCGAAGAGGTACAAGACCAGCAAGTAGAAGGAAGCACTCTACTATTCCCCAAGTATACAATTCATTTTTATTTACAATACCCTATAAAAATGTAAATTTAGAAAGTTTTATTTTCATTAGAACAAAAAATTGGGATGGGGAGAGGAAGCACAAAAAAGGAATAATAGAATAAAGGAACAGTCCACTTGATCAGCTGTGAGGAAATCGAGGTGAGGGGAGCTACAGGGAGGTGGTTTTGGTTGGAGGGGAGAACACTTGGGGAGGCGAAGGATTAGGAAAAAGCAGCTGGTTAATAACAGGGAGGAGTTTACTGGTTGTAGAATACCTACATGTGCAAATATTTTTGTCTTTAAAAGCAAAGTAATATTTAAAAACCCCACCACATTCCAAAAGGAGCAGACAGCAGGATTGAGCAGTGGTTGGGGATGGAAAATTCATTCAGATTAGCGGCTCTATCCAGTAGGTCCTTTGGTTATTGGCTTGGAGGGCTCTTGGCAGCATAGGCCTGAACCAAAGGGCATGTGAGAGAGAGAGGGGTGCAAAATGGTTCTCAGGAAGACAAGGTGAGTGTGCAAAGATGTGTGTTCGCTGCATCATGGGACAAGGATAACTGACCTAAGGGAGCCCAATTTATGCAATTTCCAAATGCAACTTCCAAAAGAACAAGAGCCCCAGACTGACTGGGACAAGAAAGCCCCCAGTGCCATATGAAGAGAGGGACCAAAACTCAGTGCTTGGAGATGGAGGGGAAGAAGCCAGACACTTCTCAAGTCTTAGCCAACAGGTGAAGGGGGAGAGAGGGCCAGTTATCTAAAAGCCACACCCTCCTAAACATCTAGGAGGCCATGGGCAGCAGCTCTCTCTCTATGCCCCCAATTCTGCCTTGCAGAGCATGTGGGGATTCTCCCCAAAGCTAGTTGTATGCCTGGTTATCTGGATACTGCATTGACAGTGAGAGGGAAGAGGGGGCAGGCTCCTCACCAGTCCCTCGGTAGTGTGCAGGTGGGGGAAGAGGGGCCGTGGAGGGAAAAAGCAGCAGCTGTTGTGACGATGCAGCGGGAAAATGGGAATGCAGCAAGGACATATTGAATTGCAACTTAGCAGCGAAGGGTGAGAGGAGAAACCAAACACACACCCAGCCAAGTTCACAGAGCAAAAGAAAGGCCTCCCGTGCCAGGTATCCGAGAGAAAAATCCCACAAGGCTTTGCTTCAGCAGAGCAACTGCCTCCCCTCCTCCACTGCTGTCCTCTGGTGGTGGTGGTGGTGGCGGCGGCGGCGGCAAGGATGGCAGCTCCCATCGAGGACTCGCTGAGATCTCCTACCGTATTCCCTGCACTAACCTGGCAGGGCAGAGGAAAGGAGAAGAGTCAGATGAGGCTTGAATGTCTGTTCCTGGGGTTCAGGCAAAGATGGGACCCTGGTCTCTGTGCCACTAGTACTGCAGCTAACGCACGCTGCAGAGATCCCCGCCACCTTCATTTTCTTTCATCACTGCTTGGTCAGCCCCAGCAATTCACCCCGCTCCACAGTTGTTAAACCAAAGCAGAGAAGTGGGAACTCCTGAATCTCCCCTCCTCACTTTACCTATCTCCTGGCCTTCTCTTCCCCAACCACACTCCTTCCTCCTAGGCACCAGAGATCAGCCCGGTTCCCCGAACCCCTCCCCCCATTTACTGAGTGTCACTCAAATCCTCACTATCACTGCACAACGCGTGGGAAGCAGGATGACAGAGAGCACTAAACCAGATGAGAAACGGGGACTTACTGCAACTTTGTCTCCAGCACATTCAGCTTCTGCTGATCAACGTAGCGAGAAAAAAGGGACAAAAGGTTCGAGGGGGTGGACACCGGCTTTGCCAATGCTGCTTGTGGGATCCGCAGAAGCTCTCGGGTCGCCGTGAACATCAACTCCGTCCTGCCAGGGAGAAGGATACAGGTCAAGGTGAGAGAAGATGGCAAGACAACAGGACTTCTCTGCTTCAGCCCCATGCAGGATTCAGTGATCAAGGAGGCACAGGACTGGGAGCTCTACTGACTGCCTAACTAAGTTCTCCTAAACCCAACTAGGCTCTGATATATGATTTCCTATCAGCAGATGGAGGCCGGCAGTTTCCACAATGACAGCCTACACGGTCTGTTTCACTGACGAATCCAGTTGGCACTGCACTGAAGCTGCTCTGCAATAATTTATGAATGCCAGATGTTGACCTGGTGAGTGGGATGTTTCTCTACTGACTGCCTAACTAAGTTCTCCTAAACCCAACTAGGCTCTGATATATGATTTCCTATCAGCAGATGGAGGCCGGCAGTTTCCACAATGACAGCCTACACGGTCTGTTTCACTGACGAATCCAGTTGGCACTGCACTGAAGCTGCTCTGCAATAATTTATGAATGCCAGATGTTGACCTGGTGAGTGGGATGTTTGGGGGGGGGGGGGGAAGAGGATGCAAGGAAAAATCAAGCAGGAGAGAAACACAGTGGCTCAAGATAAGCCATTCCTCTGCAAACAAATCAAGTGTCATTAAAAGACAATGCCATAATGCCATCCCTGGGAAGAGGCCCATGCACAGGGGAGATCGAAAGGACTGTACCTACAGGTAGTCCCTGACTTACGAATGAGTTACATACCAAACACTTGGTCGTAACTCGATCTGTTCATAAGTCGGACTCCATTCATTTAAATGCGACCGCGCTGCTCGTAAGCGCAGATTGTGCGTTCATAACTCAGGAACCGGCTGTAATGCGCTTAATGAGAGGTTGGTCATAAGTACGAACGGTCATAAGTTGATGCGTTCGTAACTCGGGGACCACCTGTATTTAGAAAGGGACTCTTTCAAAAGAGGGAGGGGAGGAAGAGAAGAATTCGGCAGATGCAAGGCTGCTTACAGTGACTTAACCATCTACACTAAAACTTTACTCCTGCCAACAACACGCCCGCTACAACGACTTAGTAACTCCACCTCCATGAGTGGTGGAGAGTCAATGCTGAGGTAGTTCGGTCACTGCACTACCAGTGTGGACAGTGCTTTGCTTTCATTAAGGCTGCTGGCTTTCTGAAGCCATGCCATGATGCCCCACACTGATAGTTGAATCAGTGCAAGCACTCCTGGTGCCACCAACACAAACAGCAAAGCGTAGACGTGCACAAGCGATGTAACCACTGCAGTGGCTGTGTCTACCAACGTCAATTAGGTTGAGATACTTCTGTCATCATTCCCCTTTATTCGGCTTTGGCGAGGCCGCATCTGGAGTAGTGTGTCCAGTTCTGGGCCCCCTACTACAAAAAGGATGTGGACGCATTGGAGAGGGTCCAGCGGAGGGACCTATTTCACTAGGAGGATGGTGAAGCACTGGGATGGGTTACCTAGGGAAGTAGTGGAGTCTCCATCCCTAGAGGTGCTTAAGTCTCGGCTTGACAAAGCCCTGGCCGGGTTGATTTAGTTGGGATTGGTCCTGCCTAGAGCAGGGGGCTGGACTTGATGACCTTCTGAGGTCTCTTCCAGTTCTATGATTCTATGATTCTGCAATGTAGACATGGCTTACAGTGTCCCCTGTGAGCTGTGCGCTTGTGTGGCCACTCAGGAGAGATCCCAAGGCCGCCCCACTGATTAGCAGAGTACCCACAGCTAGGTTTTTGTTTCTATTGGGGTGCACATTCACACATGCCTCAGTGCACATAAAAAAATTATCCCTCACATGGATGAAAAAAATCTGCACGTGTATGGAAAAGATTAGCGGGAACATTGATGGCTTAATGTCACAGTTCATACAGGGATGTGTGGAGAACTTAGGCCTGAGGTAATGTACAAATGTAAATGGCTTAAAAATCCCCTACTCTCTAGTCCTACTGTTAAACTGAAGTATATTCTGGTGTAAGAAAGCTCTGCAATCACCGTATTCACTTCTGGTCAGACTCCCTCAAGGCAGAAGCAGAGGCGGTGCTGCGCTCTAGCTGATCAGGCGGCTTCTCCTCTGCTCCAGCCTAGGTAGAGTGTGGTGCACCGGAGCTGAACACCATGGCCAGCTGGCCTACTCCAGCCCAGCTGCCCTGCGCTCAGCCCGGGGAGGCTACGCCTCACTCCAAGTGTAGATGAAAGGTCTTTGAGGTCCATCTGCAAGAAATAACCAGTCTAGTGGATGCCAGGGTGAGGTTATTGTGCTGTGAGCCTGAAGTTGATGGAAGAAATCTGAATCAAAGTTGCAGAGCACCAAGGCAGGAAGCAACAAAGCTGCATGATGTTCCACGTGGGCTGGAGCAGAGGGAAAGCGGCCCAAGTAAAACAGATACTCTGCATCTCAAAGCTGAGCTGGTGGCATTTCAATGGTAGGTGAAGCGATTTTATAATAGGGTTCCATATGTTTTTGATCCTTGACATATGAGGGTAAAAGCACTGATAACTTTCTAGTGAAAACTTGTCGCCTTTTCAGAGATTATAATGCAGCTACACAAGAAGATATTTGCCTCCTAATGTGAAACTGAGGGATCCAGATACAAAACAATGTCCTACAATGGGCGCTTTTCCTCAGCATCTGACTCCTAAAGGACCAAGGCCAACATTTTCAAATTTGGGGTGCCATAGTTAGCCACACAATCCACTCTGGAAGAATCTAATGAGTGGGGTTCCACAGGGATCAGTTCTGGATACAGTTCTGGTTAATATTTCCATCAATGATATAGATAATGGCATAAAGAGGACACTTACAAAGTTTGCAGATGATATCAAGAGGGGAGGAGTTCTGAGTGCTTTAGAGGATAGGGTTATAATTCAAAGTGATCTGGACAAACTGAAGAAAAGGTCTGAGGTAAACAGCAAAGTACTCCACTTAAAAAGGAACAAGCAGTTACACACAAAGGCTGCGTCTATATTGGCATGATTTTGCGCAAAAGCAGCCGCTTTTGCACAAAATCATGCCAATCTAGACGCAGCCATAGAGCCCCCGCGATCAACAGGTAGACTGACCACAGCAATAGAGTATGCAAGACATGATTCAGTTCCCAGAGACAGTGGAGCTGGCCTTTGAGAAGTCAGCTAATTAATAATGGCTCAATAGCCAGACTCTGGGAATCATCCAAGTCCAGAGTGGTCACCACTCTGGTAACACCCAGAGCCTTAACGACTGATCACCATTTCCAGACTGAACCCAAGGGACTGGTAGGTAACACAACCAAAGAATGCCAATCAGTTACCCCTGTATTGGGCCCAGGAACTTGGATTTGGATAAAGCATCTGGATTTAAAGACAGACATCAAGAGATTGAGAATCTACCACTTTCCTGGATCACCTGTGCTAATGGCTCGTCACCTGCACTGCAAAGAACTGTGCCCTATTTCCAAGTTGATTTTTTCTGGCTTTAATTTCAAGCCCCAGATTCTTGTTCTGCCTTTCTCCACATCTCACTCCTGTAACACCAGGTGTAAGTTGAACCTCTCTAGTCCGGCACTCTCTGGTCCAACAACATCCGTGGTCTGGCATGATTTTAGGTAGCTGAATGTCCACTTATCATGGGTGTGGCCAAGTTTCCCGTGGTCCCATAGTTTGTTTACACTCACCGGTCCTGGCTCTCAGTGTTCTGTGTTACTTAGCTTTAATTTACCCCTAAATATCTCCCAAGAGCCCCGTAAGCAGTGGAAGTGTTGCTAATGCTGCTAGCCAATATTGACCTCCCGTGGTTGGGTAAATTCTCTGGTTTGATATTGGTCAGTTCTTGAGGGTGCTGGACTAGAAAGGTTCAACCTGTATCTTCTCCCCAAGAGGGTACTGACTGATACAGTGTAACCAGGTCACCCCTTAAACTATTTTTATAAGCTACAAATGGATTGAATTCCTTAACTCTCTCATTGTCAGGCATTTTCTCTACCCCTTCAAACATTTTTGTGGTTCTTCTCCGTGCTCCCTCCAGCATTTCGACATCCTCTTTACAAAAGTGGATGCCACAAGTACAGACAGTGTCTCACCAATGCCATATGCAGAAGGGGAGGGGGGAAAAAAATCACCTGCCCAACAATTTTCCATCTAAGCGAGGATATTTTCCACCCGCGTGCACAATACATTTTGTTATGTGCACCAAAGCATGTGTCAATGTGCACCACCAGTAGAAACAAAACCTAGCGGTAGGCACTCTACTAATTGGATGGGCGGCATTGGAATTTCTCCTGAGCAGCAGTACAAGCACTCAGCCGACAGGGAACACTGCTCCCTGTGGTTTCTATATCCAAGGATCACATTGGCATGTTTTGCACCAGCATCACACTTGAAGCTCACATTCAGTTTAGGGTAAATTGAATATTCGAGTAACTTCATGAATTCTTATCGGTTACTTGACTATTCTATAGTCCCCAAGGGCAGGGCTGGCAGCCAGTGCACTTAGGCCCCGCTCCCGAGGAGTCCCCTACCACTTTGCGCGGGATGCCAGGCAGAAGCTGGTCTGCGAGGAGAGCCAGTTTAAAAACCAGCTCCCCTCCCCCTGCACTGCTGTGTCTGATACAGAGGCAGCAGCCCCTGTCCGGGGAGGGAAATGCATTTAGTCTATAGCATTAACCTGTGAACTTTTGGTTATCGGCTAATCGGTTAACCGACGACACTATTACATCCCTAGTTCAGTTATTTGCCCTCTATGACCTTAAACCCTTCTCAGGCATTGGAGTCCCAGGATTCAGGCCTCAACTGCATTCAGCAAAACTTTGCACTCTGGGAGGGGAAGGGGGATGCCTCGGTGGCTCTGTGGACTCCAGTCAGAATGTTCCCCTTGCAGCCAATTGAGTAACCAGTAATGCAGCTAGGAAGCGTTCCCCTCTCTAGGGGGTAGAAGTCAGACTCCTTCAGTTGGGCTCAACTTCTCTACAACTCCACAGCAGGCCCAGAAAGTACCACTGAATCTCAGTTCCTGGAGGCACAGGAGTTTAAGTCACAGACCCTTATCAATGGGACACCAAAGGGAAGCCTGGCATTACAGTAGGAGGCTGTCAGCTCACAGGGTGATCGCTCCTCTGGCTGGGGAGTTGTGTCCCCTGTTCCAGTTCCTAATCCTATGCCCTGGCTACTAGATCAAGCCCCATCTGTTGTTAGGAGGCATATGATTCTGGGTTACACTGATCCAGGGCATGCTCTGCTCACCCTTGGCCAACATGCATTGTCCTCAAGGGAAGGGGGGGAAGGAAGGGGGGAGGCGGAGGAAGAGAAACACAGCTAAGGGATGCAGCAGGGACTCACCACTGGTTATCCTGCATTAGCTCAGTAGCATCATGGGAACTCTGCAATTCCTCCCCACGACTCAGGACCAAGTACAGCAGGGACAGGCCAAACTGCAGAGAAAGACGAAGTAATAAGAGAGTGTGCGCGTGAAGGAGGGGACAGCCTCTAGGCCTGACCCCCAGCAGGCACTCCTCTCTTCTGGGGGTGCTGTAGCACATTTCCCACTCCTGGGTCTGAAGCCTTCACTCCCCCATTACCAGCCTCTGCTCACGGCCCTTTAGCTTACCCCAGGGCCTGACTGCAGCGAGTCAGGGAGGCCTAGAGGGAACTATTACAGAACAGCACGTGCCGCCCACGAGCTCGGGTCATCTTCCTTTCGAGGACAAACCACAGTGGCATCACCGCACCCCAGTCAGAGGCCAAGGGACTTATTTGTCTTACTTCTCACCTGGGCGCTCTAGTCCTAGTCCAGGACCCCTGGATCCAAAATTTAGTAATAACAGAGAGGGGAAAAATTCCGATTAAGACAAGCCCCCTGCCTAACAGGATTAGCCTTGGACTGTGCAAGAGCAACACTGGGCAGGATGAGAAATGTGCATTGTTCCTTTGCTACAGATAGAGCCTTCACATTCCCTCAGCCTCTTGGGAATACACGTCTTGGTTTCCTCTCTTTGCCCATCATGGACCCATTATATCTTTTTGGTTTCTCCACTATGCTGGGCTTACCAAAGCAGACACCCACCCCTGCCCAGAAGCAGCTTCTTCCCAGATGCACTGAGGGTTGTAATTCAGTGCAGGGGCTGTATGATCTCCCATAGTGCTGTCCCACGTTTGCAGGGGACTGCCCCAGAACAGCATGCTGCTTCCGAGTCTGCTCGCCAGCCTTCACCATCGTGCTTTGGCCCATGATTGCCTTGGCTGGAGTCCCTAGGACCAGGGTTCAACAGGCTTTTGGAGATAGTGAGCGTATAGAATTCCAAGACTCGTGCTTTACCTTAATTCTCCTCTGGATCCAAATGAATCCCAGAGAAAGTAACTGATCCGTCACAGGCCTCGTAAGCACTATAGAGCCTTATCTACCATTAAAGCAAAAGCAGCAAAGACCAGGGAAACAGACCCTGACTATGAGGAAGAGATGCACAGGAGGAAGACTCCTAGCATCGGCCCGTCCCTGGTGGTACTTCTAAGGTGCCTTTCACTCTGCTGTGCAAGTGTGCAATGTAAAGCTGCCTACCCCACAGCTGTCTGTGCCATGCAAGGAGAGGAGAGGGAATGGAAGTGTCTGCAGGAAGATTTTATTCCCTGTCCCCAAGTGAGTCCCATTCATTTAGCTCCTTCCTCATCGACCCCTGTTGCTGCAGGAGATTCCAGTGCCAGTTAGCTCAACTCTACTTCTTCTGGCAAGGAAGCTGCTGGTCAGAAAGGACGACCTCTCAATGCCTGGTTGGCCTGTCCCTGGTTTCATGAATCACATTCAGGGAATTTTCACACACCCCGGCATGGAGAAGAGGACCTATTGGATGGATTGGTGTTTGGAACCTCTCCCCGGACACTGGGTTGGCTAATGAGGGCAACTCTCCAGTTCAAAAGAGAAAGGAGGGTCTGAGTCCCTCGCTGTTCCCCAGGCCAGAGCGAAACAGGAGAGAATCAAGCAAGGGGAAGCATCTCTAGCCTCTCACACTTGAGTGTGCCAGGCATGTCTATAGCTAAATCAGGTCCCAGCAATGAAGGAATCAAGCGTGCAACTACTGCTTCTCTCAGTGCTCAGCAATAGCCCACGCCGCAGGCACCTTGTTCTGGAGCACAGCTGCGAGGTGCAGGTTGGCAGGCGCTGGCACCGTGGCGCTTTGAGGTAGGTTCGCTAGCTGCTGCAGAAGGCTGGTGACCGTCTCCGATGGAAGATGATAGAGAACGAGAGAGAAGGGCCTCAGTAAGCACGGCAGCACCTGAAGGAGAGAAGAACAATATAAAATCACAGATAGCCGAGTATGCAGGGAGCTCCCCATGCTCCAGGAGGGGCCATGCAACAAATCCAGGCTTCATTTCCTATTGGCAGGCAGGGCAGGCCATGTGAGTGAACCCAGGTATCCAGGTGACACAGAGTGGAGACGGCTGGCAAACCAGGAGAGAGAAAAGATGGGCAGGAATTGAAGGGAAAGTTCACCTGCGTGCCATGAAGTGACAGCATTGCCTCTGGGATGAGATGTGGTGGCTACAACATTATACAGAGAACTGTCCTCTCACCTCTGTCTCTCACCATTTGGAGTTTGTTATAGGACAAGAAGCAGTGGGCTTAAATGGGCAGCAAGGGAGATTTAGGTTGGACATTAGGAAAAACTTTATGTGAGGGTAGTTGAACACTGGTTTTTTTTTTTTATAAAGAACCCCTTTGAAAACTGGTTATGTTTCCATATTGAATCTAGCCCGGGTCAGCAGTATTTCTACCCCCAAGCACTGAAAAAATCGTAAGTCAGACCCTTTAAAAAAAGGGGAGAGACTTTAAAAAAATGTACTGGGGGGTACTTATACTTTTTTTTTCCTCCTACCATTGCAACACATTTGTTTAAAGAACTTAATCATAGCCAGACAGGCAATGACATTTTTGGATGTAAAAAGTACAAAAGTAATAAAATGCTGTAAAACTTAACACAAAAATTCAGTCTTCTCTAAATTTCCCCCCCCCCCCCCCCCGACTTCTCTCAAGTGCCCCTAAGGGTACTTGTACCACTGGTTGAGAAACACTGATCTAGATGATGCTTGATCCTGCCATGAGGGCAGGGGACTGGACTCGATGACCTTTTGAGGTGCATTCCAGTTCTAGTGTTCTATGAGTCAAGGACTGTATGTGTTTGAGGCCCCATTGTGCTGGGTGCTGTGCGATACTGTTAGCCTGTAGTCATTTACATAATTAACCAATAAGCCTGGGTTTATCGGTTAATTCCAATGGCTAAATGCACCCCGCTGCCTCTATACCTCTGTATCAGAGGCAGCAAGGGGGGGGAGGGGTGGCAGAAGCCAGCTCCCTGCGTGTGCCAGCTCCCACCAAGCTGCGTGCCTTCCATCTAGAGGGAGAATTTCCGGGAGAGCTGTGTGTGTGATGAAAATGGACGCACAATGGATGTCTGCGTATCTTACTGGACCATCCTGTCCAAGGATCTCAAAGCACTTTCCCAAACACTGAATTCTCACAAACCCATATGAGGCCAGGAACACTAACTCAGCAGAGACCAGTTCGTTATTACCCCCACTGACAGAGCTGCAAACCTGCAAAGCGACTTCCCCCTGCTCACACAGTGAAAGCAGGAATTCAGATTCTCAGTCTCCTGCTCTGATCGTTTGACAATGCTGCCTCTGAGATGCAGATAACTCGTATCAACCACCTGACAGCAAGCTCTTTCTGTTGCAGCCTCCTTGCTTACCTCATCCTGAGCATCCTTCTTGATCAGGAAGGGCAGGTTTCTGGCTGTTGCCATGAGTATGTCGGTCGCCTGCTCTGGAGACAGGAAGGGCAGGATCCGGGCAACCATACGCTTTCCTTTCCGGATACACATGATTTGCACGAAGTGGTCATCACTCAGCCTGCCCAGAGGAGAATGTTTGGATGGTCATTAGCCAGGTACCTTCCCTAGCTCCCTGTGGGTCTATACAGTGGACAACCAGGAGAGCTTATGCCCAGAAAACAGACAGCATGACAAAAAGCTTTGCTATCTATCAGGCCCGACTGGACCAGTGCACATGAAGGACGAGGACAATAAAATTCCTCTGACCCTGAGGCCTGCCCAGTCACACTTTCCTCCTGAGCGCAGACCCCTCTGTCCCGGCCTAGTTTCTCCCATTTCCAGGGGCAGACCCTGCCCTGCATATGGACTAGGTGAGGGGCAGAGGGGCCTCACTCCAGGCAGGACTGGGCAGTGCCCTCCCCCTCCCACATGCCTCAGTCTCTTCCTTCTCCATCTTTCCAACTGAAGTCAGTGGGGAGGGGAGGAGGGGCAGCATTCAAAGGAGAGTGTCCTGGCTGTTTAAGTGAGCTTGGTACTAGCGAGGGGGCTGCCCCACATGAGGGATGGGCTGTAGACACTCACCCTACCCTGAAGCAAAGGAGGGGAGAATTCCATAGTCCTCCCCTTTCTGTAGGGTGAGGAGAAGACAAGGCTGGTGGGGGGAGGGGCTCAGACATGCGGCGCCAAGAGCACTGGAAGCAGAGTCATGTTGCTCACCTCTCTTGGCCAGGCATTTTCCCCCTCAGATTGTCATACATGTCACAGATCTTCTGCTTCCGCTCCTCCATCAGGGTTGGCCGCTGCCCTTCCAGGCTCAGCAGGTAGCGCCTCTCGTAGTCCTCCACGTCCAGGAGGAGGCTGTACGTCTGCAGGACATGCAGCCAGATCAGAGCCATTCACAGGCACCCCCACTACCCCACAGCTAGTCCGGGCAGGAAAGCTCTGCCTCCAGAGCAGACTCAGAGCACGCTGCATCAGCAAGCCCTATAGAGAGAGTGCCGGCGTTCCCAGGGAAGCGGCAAGTGGCCAGCATGCCTCCACCACAGCTGAGAGACGCCACCACTCGCCTTGGCCTGGCTGCTGACGCAGACAACCAAGAGGAAAGGTGTTTCCATTATTCACTACCAGTTTTGTTTAAAGCAGGAAGTCAGTCAGCAGCTGGAAAGCAAGGAGCATGCCCAGTTCACGGCAGGGATTTGGGAAGGGGTGTATGTGGGGATCACTTTTCCCATGGCTTACAAATATCCCCAGCCCCCAAGCGGCATTTACCTGGGGTACCGGCCAGGTCAACTCTTACAAAAGTGGGAGAGGGGGAGGTCTCATCTCATGCTCACCTTCTCAATGGTGACAAGGGTCTGTCGTCTCTTGTCCCGAACCTGCTTCTCCGTCGTCTCCTAGGGGCAGGGAGTGAGGCAGCCCCAGCTGGAGCATGGAACAACAAGCAGCATCAGAAAGGAGTGGACCAGGGGGCGGGGGGGGGGGGAGAGACC